CTTTACAGCAGCAGTGGCGTTTAAGAAAAAGAATGCAAAGGACTAGCACATTTTTACATGTTTATTGAGGTATTTTCTGGATTTTTCCACAAAGACGTTGGTGGAACCATTTTCATTTTTAGAGAGAAGCTTGCTTTAACACTGGATCAGCGAGCCGTACAGATTTAAAGAAGGTAAATGCTGTCATGTGACATAACATGTGACCTTAGTTAGCTAATGTTAGGTAGAGCCAGTTAACTGTGGACTGGCTGCATCATTTCAGTGTGGTGGATGTGTAGATCAGATGTTTTGATTCTTTTCCACAATAACATTAAATTAATTAATGTTTTGCTCAAACACTGAAGTAATTAAACATTGCCATGTTGGTTAGCTTACATACAGTGGTGCTTGAAAGTCTGTGAACCCTTTAGAATTTTCCATATTTCTGAATAAATTTGACCTAAAACTTCATCAGATTTTCACAATAGTCCTAACAGTCAATAAAGAGAACCAAATTACAGAAATTAGACTTGATCATTTATTATTGAGGAAAATTATCCAGTATTGCATATCTGTGAGTGGCACAATTGTGTGAACCTTTGCTTTCAGTATCTCGTGTGACCCCATGATACCACAACCACCATGTTTCACAGATGGGATGCTGAAATGTAGTGTTTTCCTTTGTCCAAACATAACGCTTCTCATTTAAACCCATAAGATCTACTTTGGTCTCCTCTGTCCACAAAACACTGTTCCAATACCCCTCTGGCTTGCCCATGTGATATTTAGTAAACTGCAGACGGACAGCAATGTTCTTTTTGGAGAGCAGAATATTTTTGTCTGATTTGTTTAATATGGTTCTTTGTATCTACTATTAGGACTTGTGATAAAATTTGATGACGTTTTAGGTCAAATTCATGCAGAAACATGGAAAATTCTAAAGGGTTCACAAACTTTCAACCACCGCTGTAGGAGCATTGACCTTTGTAAATGCTACCCCTACTATAATATTTTCCCTACTATGACAACCTCTGCTGCATTGAATACAGAAGTGTAAAGGTTCCATTGCGGTACTTGATGGCATCTTCGTGATACATAATTCTAACCACAATATTTAGTTTTATTGATGTTTGTGAACACAGTGGAATGGACGTCATAAGAACAGCATTTTAATTTTATTCAAAGTAATCCAGTAGAGGGGACATAAAAGGGAAACCAATTATAATATAATGGAATAATGGGCTACATCAAGTCAGCTCTCCGTGATATTTTCATTTTGACAGTGAGACACTTCACAGCTTTCTCAGTCATTTTCAATTTTTTTTTTATAGCTACTTAGCTGTTTGTATGAAACTTACTAATTGTATGAAACATAGGAAAAGTGTATAAAAATAATCATATATGTGCATTTGCAACCAAATTGGTTTTATGTTATTGAAAAAACGTTTGAATTATAATGTATGTCCACACTGGAAAACGCCACTCATGCACTATAGCAAGGCCCTTATCTTTCATTATCAGCATCTTCAGCTCATCATCATCTCACCATTCACAGCGTGTTCTGGCGTCAGTGTTGTTCAAACACTGATTACAGTACACAGCCGCAAACACGTCCCTTCACATGCTGTGGTTTAGATGGCTAAATGTAATTGCTATCTCGCAGTCTCTCTCTACTCTTTCTCTGTGGTGGCACGTTATGCTGATCTGAGATCTGTTCTGTGGTTTGGCTCTGAATGGTGAAGGGTCAGATTTACCCAGAGCGGGTTTCCCCCTGTAGTAGCTCCTGTTTTCTTTTGGCTAACGAAGCCTGCTCATTATCTCACTTCAGTCTGTGCCTCAACAATCCAGAAAAATCCATGCTTTTTAAAAAATATTTTTGAAATGTTGAGAGAAAACAGGCTGTGTATGGTCTAAAATGAATTATGTTCTGAGAGCACTGCATCATAAAGCTTGTGGTCTTTCTGCAGGCCACCTAGTGGCCATTTTGCTGGCAGAATGGAAATTAGTTTTAATATATAATGAAATAAAATATTTCTCTCTGTAACTCTGTTATCAGATTAAATAGGACACTGTTCTCTCTCTGTGTGTGAAATGTTGTGACTCTGTGTTGAGTTGCTAGCGAGCAATGATGACCAAAACACCTCTCTACAAAGATGACCTTGCCGAAATGCAACTGCAGCTTTCTTTTTTCAAACAATTCTGTACAACTGACACAATAAAAAATAGCATTTAAACACAATAACAACAAAATCCAGTTTGCTTGCCTTTAGTCGACGAAATCTGGGGTAAGCAGAAAATTGGGTGAATTTTATTTTTTGACCAGCTATACCTTTAAGGGGAAAGGTGTAAATTTGTTTCATGCTTTCACCCTTTGCTATGACACTTGAAATCCCATTTCTCTTGATGGTCTTTGAGATGTTTCTACACCTTGACTAGAGTCCATATGTGGTAAATTCAGTTGATTGGACATGATTTGGAAAGACACACACCTGTCTATGTAAGGTCTCACAGCTGACAATGCAAATCACAGCAAAAACCAAGCCATGATGAGAAAAGAACTGCCTGTGAGAAGGCTACAAAAACTTTTGCTGCACTGAAAGTTCCCAAGAGCACAGTGGCCTCCGTAATTCTTAAGTGGAAGAAGTTTGGAACAACCAGGACTCTTCCTAGAACTGGCCACCCCAGCAGACTAAGTAATCGGGGGAGAAGGGCCTTGGTAAGAGAGGTGACCAAAAACCCAGTAGTCACTCTGGCTGAGCTCCAAAGATCCTGTGTGCATATATATAATGGCAGAGTGACCAGACAGAAGCCTCTACTCTTTGGTAATTAGTTTTCCCTGTCAGTTCTATACCTGCCAGAGTCTCTGCTAACACTGTAATTTGTGATCGGTCACCCATTACAGAACTGACTCTCTATGTGTTTTCCTCTCTTGTGTGTTTTCCTTTCTTTTCTTCGCCGAGTTGAACAGCTGCCCATCCTTTGCGTCTGATGCTGCTGCCTCTTCTGCCTTGATCGGGTGCCACTGCTCGCCAGCCCTCTGGACCGGCTTACCAACATTGAGCCTCCTGCTGTACGACGCCGTGCAAACCTCACCCTCACAACCTGACCCCACTGATACTACTGCTGTTGCTACATGAACTAATCAAAATTATTCACTTGAACTAATCAATCATTTAAACTAATCAAATTAAGCAATCACCCATTACAGAACTGACTCTGTGTGTTTTTCCTTTCTTTCCTTTGCCGAGTTGAACAGCTGCCCATCCTGTGCGTCTGATGCTGCCTTGATCGGGTGCCACTGCTCGCCATGCAAACCTCACCCCCACAACCTGACCCCACTGATGCTGCTGCTGCATGAACTAAACTAATCAAATTAACTGTTTGCTCCACCTCTTTTCCCTGTTTTTGTACTATAATACTTTGTACTAACAATGTTTACTATCCGATGTCGACCAGAGGAGGATGGGTTCCCCTTCTGAGTCTTGGTTCCTCTCAAGGTTTCTTCCTGTTTCTCTTAGGGAGTTTTTCCTTGCCACTGTCGCCACTGGAGATTCTCATGGGGGCTTGGACCCGGATTTCTTTTTGTAATGCTCATTTCCTTGTAAAGCTGCTTTGTGACAACACCTGTTGTAAAAAGTGCTATATAAATAAACTTTACTTACTTACTTACTTACTTACTCATTAAAAGACACATGAAAGTCTGCCAAAAAAGCACCTAAAGGACTCTCAGACTGTGAGAAACAAGATTGAACTTTTTAGCTAAGTGTCATGTCTGGAGGAAACCAGGCACTGCCCAATACCATCCCTACAGTGAAGCATGGTTGCAGCTTCATGCTGTGGGGTTGTTTTTCAGCAGGTGGGACAGAGAGACGGGTCAGGGTTGAGGGAAAGCTTAATGGAGCAAAGTACAGAGATTTTCTTAATGAACCAGATTCAGAGTGCTCAGGACCTCAGACTGGGCCGAAGGTTCACCTTCGACAAGACAATGACACTAAGCACACAGCTAAGACTACACAGTAGTGGCTTAGGAATAACTCCGTGAATGTCCTTGAGTGGCCCAGCCAGAGCCCTGACTTAAACAAAATTCGAACATCTTTGGAGAGACCTGAAAATGGCTGTCCACTGATGGCCCCTTCCAACCTGACAGAGCTTGAGAGGATCTACAGAGAAGAAAGGCATAAAATCCTTTTGGCATCATACCCAAGAAGACTGGAGGTTGGAATCAGTGCCAAAGGTGCTTCTACTAAGTACTGAGTAAAGGGTCTGAATACTTATGTCAGTGCAATATAGGTAGGTTAGTTTTTCCTTTTCTATAAATTTGCAAAAATTTCTAAAATTCTGTTTTTACTTTGTTATTATGAAGTATTGAGTGCAGAATGATGGGGAAAACCTTTTATTTTAGCACAAGGCCACAACATAACAAAATGTGAAAAAACATAAAGACTGAAGACTGAAGACTGCATTGTATATATTTTTATTCCATTAAATAGAGTACAAAAAAACAGATACAAACTGAGCAAAGTTTGTCTGGCTTTTTTTGGGTCTCTATTTAAAGGAATAAAAATACATATTTTTGCTAGACATGTCTGACTTTTCAGCAGTGTGCAGGCAATATTTTTCCACTCTATCTTTTATATATAATTCAGAATTTCACATTCTGTCCTTTTCCTTTCCTGACTTTATTTTATTTATTGTTCCCTCTTCTCTCTCTCTCTCTCTCTCTCTCTCTCTCTCTGTCTCTGAAGGATTGAATGTGCCGGGTGAGTGTCAGTTGTGGTAGGTGTAATCAGATGTGTGGGAAGGATAACAGAGTTTGTCAGTGACAGCGCCAGAGCCGTGGGCTGAGAGAGAGACACCAGAGTAAATCACACAGTCTACAGATTCAGCCTTCAAATAGAGTTCACTGCACTGCTTCTCACACACAAGAGCACATACACTGCTTCCTTCTGGTGGCCTTTAACACACACACACACACACACACACACACACACACCATTGCAATATTATATCACACAGACGTCTGGGATTTTGAAAAAAGCTTTATTGAAGGTGTGTTTGGTCACATTCAGAGTTCACTCTTCACTTCAGATTCTCCAGCCTCCTTTTCTTTCTAGAGAGAAAAAGATAAAATCATGTAAAATCCATTTTAATGCTTATTAGTCTTTTTTCAGTATTTGGAAGCTTTGTCTTTTGTCAAGCTGGCTTTATTCAGTGAAACATTCAGGCAATTTTAGCTGCTTGAGAGCTGCATGAAACTACATTGCGCTTGAGTTGCATAATGTAAAGCTTGTCCTGCAACTCATTTAAAACTCAGCTGCAAGCAACAGGTGGAACAAGTTTCTTGAAACACCCAGTCAAAACACCGATAACGCATCACATGATTGCATCCAACAACACCATTTCAAAGGATTGATTACAAAGGGCGTCGGCTTGGTGGACAAGAAAATAAAAGAGAAGATGTCTTTTGCACAGTGTAAAAGGAGATGCTCCTAACTGTCTTTCTGCAAGGTTGGTAGTTTTTCATTTTGTCAGTTTACCAAAGGGAAGGATGTCAAAAACAAATAGGTTTCTCAAAGCTAGTGTTTCTGTAACCAGCTATCACTAACAGCTGTTCAAACTCTCTTTTCAGGAGCCAGTTTTTCACCCACACTCGCTTTTAGTTTCTTTTTCTTTGTCAAGCATATTTACAAGTTCTAGTGCACTGATAGCTCTCTTTTTGTTTTCTGATGAAGCTGTTTTAAACAATGATAATGACAGCTGGAAAAATTACACAAAGATGATAAAAAGACTACTTAATATACATGTGTAGATAGATTAAGATAGATGAGTTTATATCACCTGATCAAAAAATGCAAGATATTTTATTTGGCTACCCATACAGAAAAAATATCATCCAAATGTATTTATCAAACATATTTTTGAAATGCATGAAAATGTCCAAAAAATGTATTTGTTAAATATAATTTAAAAATGCCTTTAAAATGTATTTTCCAAATATATGCATGAAATATATTTTTGCAATGTTTGAAAATGGCCAAAAAATATATTTGCTAGATGTATTTTTTAAATGCATTTATTTGTATTTGTTATTATATTTTTTTAGTTGCATGTAGTTTTAGCAAAGGTTACGTATCGCTGCTTCTTTACAGAAGAAAAAAAAAACCTACTTCATTTTTAATGTCAATGGAACCAGACTTTTTTCCCAAGACATTTTAGGCCATTTCTTTTGGTCCATTCGTCATGAAATTTACACACAAATGTAAACGGCAACAGGCATTTTCAAATTATGTCAAAAACTGGAAAACGCTTTTACATGAACTAAATGAACAGTAATAAACAAGATATCGTATCATAACTGCATTTTGGCAGTGTATCAATAACAACACTTACTTCTGCCATATTAAAGGTTCATATGCTAATGCTTAAAATTAAGATATTGAAATACAGATTCGTTTTCATTTTCAAATGTATTTGATAAATACATTTACATACATTCATTTTTGTATGGTACATTTTTATGTGTAATATCTTCCCATTTATTTTAAAATAAATGCATTTTAAAATATATTTCGTTAATATGGCAAAATATTCTGAAATAAATATTAGTATTTGTTATGTGTTTTGCAATGTATTCGACATGTATTTCAAATATAAAAAAAAATGGTCAGATTGCACAGAAATTAGGTTGCACTCAACTCAAAACATGCAACTAACTGCATGAAAGTTTCAGAGTGTAAAGCCAGACACCAACAGAATTCTAGAACACTCTCATGGATTCCAGACACTTTTCAGAGTTAGAGTCATAATTATCATTGTTGTAAACAGAATATTCTATCATAAAATTTTACTTAACAATGGATGTGTTATTAGGCTATAAAAATCATGTTAGCTAAAGCTAACTTCCCCCTACAACTTTGCAAGACCCCCCTTATCTTTAATGGACTGAAGCAAGATAAGTTAAGATATTAAAACAACAATGTTTAAACAAAGAGAAACATTCATTTTACTATCACTGTCGTAGTTGGACGACATTCAGGTAAAGAAGTTGAGCGTGGAGCTAAGAGACAGAGATAGCAGGCTAGCTAATTGGTTTAGTTGATTGCTATAACACATGAACAGTTGTAAATCTATTCAAATTTAGCAAATAATACATTAAAATAAGCTGCCAAGCTATCAATCCTGAATGAGACTTTATGTTCGCTATTCAAAACTGATTAACTCACGATGCAACTTGAACTTGGAGCACTAAGTTTGCTGTGGAATATGAATGTGATTTTCCATTAAGCAAACCAGCTAAAGTGACTATGAAAGCACATTGCTAAAGAAAGATTTTAAAGGATTTACGTCCTGAATTTCTGTATCATCACTGCTATCTAGGTAAGTAAAAATCCAGTCAGACTCATCAGTCTCCTTATTTGATATACCATGTATGTATTTAACACACTGTATCCACACTGTACTCCATTTTATGTAACTGTATCACTGAATCTGAAAGAGCTGACGTGTATAACAAAGTATCATCTGCACAAAAGTAAAAAGAAAAATGGGCTATGAATAAATAAAGGGAGAACAATAAGGGCCCTAAGACATAGCCTTGTGGGACACCATATTGCACACTTCTATGTCCAGAAAACATATATAGGAAAATAGGAATATAGGTAATGCATGTAGTTTGCACGATAACTTATAGAGCATACACTTCCATTACTTGTTAGCTACATTATTAGCTACTACAAATCTACAGAAGCAAACTTAGGACACCAAACATTTGATAAATTATTATGGCCAAATTATTACTTCATGTTTTACTATAATCTTAATGTCTTTAATTCTCAGGCATCAGAATACAGTTACAAAGAAATGCTGCATTTTCTGTGTGGCACTGTGGTAGAAAAATGGTCAGATATGAACCAACACCAATCACCATAGCAACCCTACCTGCAGCTCTCCATTGAGGAAGGAATCGCAGAAGTCCTGCACACGCTCAGTAGAGATTTCACCCGGTGGCAGGAGCCAGGACTTGTCTGATTCTCCGTCGTAGATGCCAACACGCGGCAGGTCACTTGACTTCAGGTTGAAGTAGCCCAGCGCTCGATCGTTCGCCTTCTCTTTCCCGTTTATCAGCACAAACAGCATCTACAGAGAGACGGCCACGGTCCACTGGTGCTTTAATTTACAATACAATCCAACATATCTAATCAGGAAATCAATTATTAGCTTGTGAGTTAAATCAATATATTAGAGCAGATGGAAACTCAGCTGTTTAGTAATTAGCTGTTCAAATGAAGTGTGGTTTTAAGGGCCCACATGTCCGTCACTTTACTTGCATTTACTTTTTATCCTGAAATACACGTTTGGCATTTGTGTGCATTTATGAACCAAAAACATACAATTAAACAGGCTGTTTATTTTACTTTGAATTGACTGATCTATACACTTTATCTCTGTTCTGATTGGCTGCCCTGTGTTGTGCATCATTCAAAAAGCAGTAGAGGCTGAAACACTTCAACAACTTCAACACTGAATAGGTGGATATATTTAACACATTGCTATTTGTGAAGTCACAAACATAATGAATTCAAAACTAGATGCTTTTGCAGCTTAGATTCCATATATGGACGAAAGAAGAATCAGCACAGCATTTTCACAGTGTTTATATACCGCATTGAACTATTTTGTTTAAAAAAAAATGAGAAAAAAATATTTTTCTGTAATATGTGCCCTTTAACAAACTACAGCACACAGCTTTTGGTAAAATGTACAAAGCAAATATAGCTGATAATTTAATAATAACAATAAAATATATATATAGGTAAGCATATATATTGAGTTTAGGCAATGGCCTAGTGTCTAATTATCTGTTATAAGATAATCATAACACATATTCAGTAACTACTATAAATCATTCAGTACCTCATATAAAACTGATGTTATTTATAGTAATGAGAGTGGGGACCCTCAGTTTGAGAGGTTAATGTTTCCATGTAAGTTGATCATCTTTCTATTAGAGCTGGGCAGTAAATCAAATTTTATTTTCAATTAAGATTTTGGCTTCCAACAATTATGAAAACAAGATAAACAAGATTGCATTCTGTTTTGCAATGATGGTCTTGTTTTGTCTTGTGTTATAAATTAAGCGCAACCCGTTCCTTTATAGCGGTGTGTTTTCTCTCTTCCCAAAAGCCCAAACTCTAATTTGATTTATTTATAATTTATATATATATATATATATATATATATATATATATATATATATATATATATATATATATATATATGTTTAGTAGTTTTCAGGTTGTGGAAGTGCACTACAACATACTTATCTTATTTATTTATTATTTTATATTATTAAATGTTTATGTGTATCTATTTTTTTCTATTTTATATTTTTTTGTTGTTTTTGTTTTTCACTTAAATTATATTTAAAGTTGAAGGACTCCACTGTTAAAAAGACAGCTTTTTTTTAAAAAAGTTCAATAAATGCAAATCCAAAGTCATTTAAAAATTATATGATCATGTTTTTATTAGGGCTGGGCGATTAATCAGCTTGTAATTATTATTATGAAAACAAAATAATCAAGATTGCATTCAGTTTTGCAATAATGCTCTTGTTTTGCGTTATAAATTATAGCGATGCGCTTTCACCCCTCCCTAAAGGCCCACACTCATCCAATTTATTTTGCGATCTAATTTGTATATTTATATATACATGTACTTCAGTTACATTTTATTTAAAACTTAAGAAACTCCACTGTTAAAAGGACAACTTCTTAGTTCAATAAACACATGATGTTTCCAAAGTCAATGAGTAATCATGTTAAATAATCATGATCTGAATACTGACCAAAATACTCATGATTACAATTTTTGCCATAATTGAGCAGACCTACTTTCTATGTATTTTTACTATTTTGGGTCTTATTTCAAGGAGTTTCATCACTCACAGGCACTCCAGACATTCTAGATGGTTCAGTGTTCAGGAACGTACGAGTGCAGAGCCATAAGCTGATTGATATTAGGGTCAGTTCTTTGCTCTAATACTGTTTGAATTAGACCCACTAAATCCATTACATTATTACAGGAGCCACTTCCTTCATCTGAGTGAAATTAATAAATGTAAGATCTCATCAGTGTGGCCCAGTGTTCACAGTGTTACCTTGCCGGCATAACGAGGGGCCAAAGCCCCCAGCTTCTCCTTCAGTGGTTTATAGTCAGTGCTCCCCCTGTTGGCTAAGAGCACAAGGTGCACCTTCACTTTTGACTGGAAGAGACCCACTGCGGACTGAGAGAGAGAGAGAGAGAGAGAGAGAGAGAGAGAGAGAGAGAGAGAGAGAGAGAGAGAGAGAAAGAACGGTCATCAAAGAGCACCAAACTGTGTTGTTAAGTCATTAAGTAGCAGCAGCAGCTGTTCTGAAGCCTGGATTTTGCCTGTTTTCACCCTTGTAGCTCCAGTGCAAATGTACGGAAGCAAACCTTAGATAACAAAGCCATGTTCCTACCTGGTTTTAACATTCACCTTGTTAATCTAATCACAGGCAGACAGTGTAAAGCTCTTTTGAAGGTGTCTTCAGTCAGACTTCATGACTGGAAAAAAGGGTGATCAGATGACAGTGCATCTCCAAAACACACTGGACCCTGTTTTCACCTGAATTTAGTGCTGTCCACTTATAATCAGATCACTCAGGACAAATGTTAATGCTAGTTGTAGATGGGGCCAATCAGATTTTGACTCATTGACTGTATTTGGAGTTTAGGGGAAATTGTGTTAATTTGATTTTTTTTTATTTTTTTCATTTTGAATTAGATTGTTTTAACTTAAAACTGTTAGAAACCTAAATATATACACAAAGCAATGCATATTGTAAACCAAAATATCCTATTGAAAAGACTGCACCATTGCCGTCTACACTACTGCACTGTCCAGTAAAAAACACAACACTGGTCTGTGCTGCTGCCTTCAGGGACTCAGTTTACACCTCCGCTCTAGAACACAGTGAGCGAATAAAGATGATGAGTCATCATGATGAAGACTGGAATTAGTTCTGAATGACATAATGAGATTAGCATTTATTAATCCACCCTCTGAACAGTGGAGAAGAGTATAGAAGAGAGGAGAAAAGAAGAGGGTGGGGGAGAAGAGAAAGGAAAAGAACAAAGAAAAGAAGAGAGCAGAAAAGAAGGGTATGGGGAAGAAGAGAGGAGAAGAAAAGAAGCAGAGAAAAGACTAGAGCATAGATGAGAAAAGAAAAGAAAGAAGGGGACAGGGAGAGGAGAAAAAAGAGAAAAGGATAGGTGAGAGAGAAAGAGGGTAAGAAGAAGAGAAGTGAAGAAGAGAATTGAAGAAGAGAAATGAGAAGAGAAGAAAACAGAAAAGAACAGAAAAGGGTAGGAGTCAGAGAAGAGAAATGAAACGAAGAAACCAAAAGAAAAGAAATAAAAAAGACAAACGGAAAAGGGAGGGAGAACAGAGAAGAAGAGAAAAGGGTAGGTGGGACGACAAAGAAAGAAAGAAAGAAAGAAAGAAAAAAAAAGAAAGAAAGAAAGACAGACAGAAAGAAAGAAAGAAAGAAAGAAAGAAAGAAAGATGAAGAATAGGAAACAGAAGGACAGAGAAGAGTATAGAGGAGAGGAGAAAAGAAGGAGACGAAGACAGGAGAAAAAATAGAGAAAAGGATAGGTGAGGGAGAAGAGAAGAGAAAGGAAAATAATAAAGAAAAGAAGAGAATAGAGAAGAAAGGTATGAGAGGGAGATGAGAGGAGAGGAAAGGAAGAAGAGAAAAGAAGAGTAGAGGGAACACAAAAGAAAAGAAAGAAAAGAAAAGAAAAAAAGAAAAGAAAAGGCAAAATGGGAAAGGGAGTGAAAAGAGAAAAGAAGAGAAAAGAGTAGGTGGGAAGAGAAAATAAAGAAAGAAAGAAAGAAAGAAAGAAAGAAAGAAAGAAAGAAAGAAAGAAAGGGGTAAAAAGAAGAAAAGAGAAGAAGAGAAATGAGAAGTGAAAAAAAATTAAAAGGAATAGAAAATGGTAGGAGTTTAGAGAAAAGAAAAGAAAAGAAAAGAAAAGAAAAGAAAAGAAAAGAAAAGGATAGGGATGGGAGAAGAATAAAGAAAGGAAGGGGAAAGAAGAGAAGTAAAGAAAAGGAGAAAATATGGCTTAGGAAGAGAGGAAAAAAGAGAAGAAGACTAAGGAAGAGAAGAGAAGAGAAGAGAGGGGCAGTGGAGAAGAGCAATGAAACAGAAGGACAGAGAAGAGTATAGAAGAGAGGAGAAGAGAAGGGTAGAGAGAAGAGTGTGTGCGCTGTGTGTCGCAGTACCGCTTGGTTGTACTCTGTGATGTAGCGGACGTCGTTGATGGTGAGGAAGCGTACGAGTCCGTCAGTGTCCAGGTTTTTGGTCTTGGAGAGTTGGAAGTTCTCCTGATGCAGGTCGGCCTGAGGGGGCACTCACACACACATTAAAGGTTCTGAGAGTTGATTAATGACCAGACTCTATTAATGGACTGAAGGGGGTCTCTGAGTGAGATTTCTCAGTTATTCAGCCAAGACCACATTATATAACACTAATGTGAGGTAAGTGTGAAGAGCAGCTGTGTGTACCTTCCTGAAGATGGTGATGGTGTCCGAGTCAATGCTGTAATTAGTCCACACCTCCTTCACACTGCACAGGGCGGCAGGAAGGGTCTTCACCTCTTCAACAGCAGCCAAGAATTCCTTATAACCATAGCCTTCATCAGCCTAGAACAGAGACAGAGAGCTGGAACGATAAACTCCACCAGTCTATGTGCTCAGCATACATATAATACACAGTGGTAAACCATGACTTTTAGAGCTCGGCCTTCAGTTCGGGCCATGAATGTCAAACACTCAGTCAAAAATAAGGAAAACACCTCTACAATATATTAATTTTTGCTATAGGATTCACGTTATAGGGGACAGAAGGGCACAACCTAACACATTCTGTTTTTTGTTGAATAACTTATAAAATGAACACTTAAACTTTGTTTCTAGAACCTCCAACTCATGTACAATTCCACCGCAAATGAGGGGAAGTGCAATGTATAATTGACCCCATGAGTGGGTTAATTGTGAAAGAGGATCAGTTTAACACTGGCTGGGAAAGTCTGATGAATTTGTGCAAACAAATTAATTCAATATAATTCTATGTTGTAAGAATATATTTTCCAACCATACTGCATTTTATGTTATCTAAGACAGACAGCTCAATCGATAGATACACACACATCAAATTATAGATAAAAACTGTCATGAAACTGTGCCAAACAGTGACAATTTATTTTTTGTCCAGTGAAGGACAGCAAATAAAAACATCACACATCAGTAAAATATGGAATATTGCTTCTGACTAACTAGCTTTACCAGATGTTACTGTAAGTTTCATTAATATACTAATAAAGCAGAACAAAATCCCTGTTTTTAGATGTTTCTTCTTTCATATCTTAAAATCTGTGTAAAGATGGAACATAAACACCAAATTTACTTTATTTGTCTTTGTTTATTAAAGGTGGCTTAGTTGTAACGCTGTGTAACAACCAACCCCGCAGTTTGGAGGCTGTACTTAAGCCCAGCTAACATTAGCTGTGAGCTTGTCACAAATAAAGTAATATAAAGTTGGATTGTGTGATTTACATGAATAACTGGAAAAAATTGTTTAAAAAAATAACGTGCATGCCCTGAAAACACTCTTTGGCACAGATCTCTTCAAAATGCTGACCAATCACTCTAAATTGTGGTGGGAGACCGTGGCTAGGAAATATGATAATGTGGCCAGAAGCACACGCTGCTTGACCTTCTTTAACAATGTTAAAAGTCTGTGGTAATTTGTGCCCCGTGTTAGGTTGTTCCCCACGCTACTCTACATTAGCGCCAGCTTACAGCAATTCAAAAAATTGTACATTTTTTGCCATTAAACATTGACATCTGAAGCTTGTAAAAGACATTTCATGGTTTATTTACAGCTTGTGACAGATATATTGGCTTTGTATCAGTTTTACAAGAGTTCTGGCATAGAGCTACTGCCGCTCTTGTCCATTTTTGACTGAAAACTGGTCAGACTGCGGCTCATGTTCACCATCAGTGATGTATCTAGACATCCAGAAGTTCTAGAGTGATATTTTACTAAAGAAATTGGTCCAATTTATAGTACATTAAAAGTAGTTTACATCTTTACTTTTGCACTGGAACTACAAGGCTAATGTAGCTAGCAAGTAATGGAAGCAACAGTACAGACAGAACTCAGACTTTAAATTGTTTGCTGCTATCATTTTTAGCTATGCAACGTACCTTCATTCATTTTTTAAGATAACACCATACAGAGGGGAACCCTAGGTCTTGGTTAGCCCTTCAGGAGGCCTTACACTATAGATTAACTACCTACATAATTAGGAACTGACAGGGGTCAACCAATCATGCTTTGGCTTACAATGGGTGGGACCAATTTTGTGAGGAAAAACTGTCACTCTAGGCCTTCATGAGGTCCTAGATCAGGGGTTGGCAACCCAAATTTTAAGAAGAGTATTTTTTTCCTTTCAACAAAATCAAACCACTTTGTAAAATGGCTGACCAGCATAAAACTTCTACAAGGTAAAATATTAATGAAACGTTAAGCTTCAAATAAAACATATGGAATGTCTTTTGCAAACTTCAAATGTCTGTCTTAATGTAGACAGAAATTTTCATGTGCACAAGTTTTAGCTTAGTGCTAATACACTATTAGAACTCTAATAGGTGTGCCAGCGGAAATTAAAGGGTGGATTTTTTCTCTTTCTTGACATTTATGACCCGAATTGGAGACCTAGCTCTAGCAGTCTAAAAGACTATAACTCCAACATGGGTTGAGGTGAGTGTGAGATGTCCAGTAAAAAGCTAAGGAAGCTAATTTCAGAAACCAAATGTCTGTTCTCATTTGTGGAGAAGGCCTTTTGCTTAAGACTAAAATGTGAAAATGAGGGAAAAACGAGTTTGTGAGAAGACAGTTAAAGCCAAGCCCTTTATATAGTTTTGTGTTATGTTCTGAATTGAAGGTTTAAACAGTAGTTAAATCTGAACTGTGTTCAGCCCTCTGTGTTTCCAGCTCTGTGTCCTTGCTCCCAGACTGTGTTTAGGTTCATGTTAGGTTCCTCCCGCGTTTGTTTATGGAGACCAGGGGAGTGCCAATCCCACAATGCCTCAGATGCACCCTCATTTCCTGCTCTGCTTCCTCCTCCGCACGGCGAGTTGGGCCAGAGGGCTTGGCATTCTGGGACGGCGGCCCTCTGCCACCACAACAGCAGGCATTTCCTGGGCCCGAGTTTGTGGCCTTGACGGGTTTTGCACGGGATCAAACGTGGAGGTTATGGCAGCGGCAGCAAACGGAAGCTCACCCACACATACACCGCTATTTTCTCTTTGTCAGTCTGCATTCCTGCCAGACGCTCAGCGACTTTCGGACATGTCTCTCCTCCCGCGTCCCACAAATCAATACGACACACACCCAAACACACACACACACACAGCCTCTGACCTCGAAGAACCCAACGACCACCACCTCGGCCGAGTTGATGAAGGCTTCTACTGCAGATACATCGGTCAGTCTGGGGAGGGTGCTGTCTGCAGGGGCTGCAGGAGGGTAATATGCATAAGCTGTCAGTGAAGGCCATTGCTAACTTGCACAGCAAGACATATATATCAATCAGCAGTGATTTGAACAGTGATATATATTTACCATCTCTGCAACATAAAGCAGAGACATATCTGCATTCGGCCTTCAGATGTTTGTACTCGAAGCTTTCGGTATTGCAAAACCAATGAAACTGCATATAAATGTATAAAATTAGTCTATTATGTGTGTCCTGTACAACTTCAATTTTTAAATAATTAGTCAGAAACTAGGAGGGTAGATGGTTCTTAACTGAGTAAGAAAGCTGTATAATATTGCAAATGAATTAACATCCAGAATGCCTAAAAAAATTCTAAAAGCTGTGATAAAATCTCATGGGCTGTAACATCACAAGAAATGAATGCTATAATTACCACACATTACTTTTCATTTATTGTCTTCTTGTTAGCAAAAATACTACAAATATTAAATAAAACATTTAAAAAATACCTTTTGGTGCTTAAAGAGTGCATGGCTGCTGCAGATTTTGAAAAAAAATAGAATAAAAACAGAAAAATGCCACTCTAAAACATGCACAAATGAGTCTTTGCTACACTCTATTTATTAAAAAGTTCAAATTTGTGTGTAACTATAACTGTTTTTAGCATTGGAGTTCTGAAATCTGGAGATGCTGCAGCCCCCTCAGCACCCCCACTTCCCACATCCATGCCTATGGGGTAAGATGCACTCACTCAGCTTTCGCCTGGATTGTTCACAAACAGTAGGTGCTGGAGATGAAGTTCATGTAAATGTGAATCTCATTAATGCTACAGATGAACATTATTAGACTGAAATGACCACCCACAGAAAAATACAGTGGTCCATTTGACTGCAGTGCCACAGAACTGTTAATTCTATGGTATAACGGTGGTGTTCATTTATTTTTAGCGTTTACTAATCTACAAACACATGGTCAATCCTAAAATCACCCACAGAAAGCCCCCTCCTATCCATTTATGAAGAAAACCTACCTTTCTCTTCTGCTGTACTGCAGGTTGCGAGTAAAGAAAAGACAAGAACAAGCAACATCTTGGCTGAGTGACTAGAGCAGGCAAAGAACAAAGCGAAGAAAGAATATAAATTCTCTTTTCTCTGTATCTTGGCCCCCTCATGTGAATCATGTGACTGGTTGGACAGTAGTGATTGGTGGGCTTGTGAGAACTGGGCAGGTGTCTTTGATAGACTGAGGTCAGAATATGTTGGACTACGTGTCACAGTGTCAAAGAGAGTTTCTTTTAGCAGGAGCTGTGATAAACCAATGTACTTGGTTGTACGCAGTGGTCAAAATGATAAAATATTTTGATGGCACCAACCCCCCTACTGAACCTCTTCACGTGAAGTCATTTACAGAAATGAATGGGGTCATCTCACTAAATATTCATTGCACAGGCACTTTATAACACATTAATTAATCAGCAGACATAATACCCACTTATTATGAATCCAGTGGGTCTACAAGACTATGTCAACCCAGTCCCACCCAAGAAACTAAACACAGGGCTCTAAAATAATGAAAAATGTTCCAAACCTCAATACAAACCAGAGCCAGCAGGTAACTGTCTGTAACAGAATGGTGTCTTCTCAACATCAACCAACTACAACTCCAACATCAACCACCACAACTCTACATTAGTGACCATTACTCCAACATCAACCAACACAACTCCACAAAACTCAACATCAACCAGCTACAACTCTACATTAATGACCACAACTCCAACATCAACCAACACAACTCCAACATCAACCAACACAACTCCACAAAACTCAACATCAACCAGCTACAGCTCTACATTAATGACCACAACTCCAACATCAACCACCACAACTCCACAAAACTCAACATCAACCAGCTACAACTCTACATTAGTGACCACAACTCCAACATCAACCACCATAACTTCGAACAACTCAACATCAACCACCATAACTTCACACAACTCAACATCAACCAACATAACTCCACAAAACTCATTATTATTGTTATTATTCCATAAAGCTTATATCTTCCAGATATGTAAGAGTAGACATAGCTGTTTTTATTGCTAAGACATAAATAAATAAATTTAATTAATGAATTTCATAAATAAATTAAATCAAAGAAAAAAAAATAAGACTGAAATTAATTAGATGTTGACATTCTTTAATCAAAAATAAAAACCAATTTAAAACATTTTAAAAATATATAAATAATACATTAAATTCAACTAAAACAAAAACCAAAAACAACCCTCAGTTGTTTCCCACATGGATCATTTAAAACTATCAGGATGAGAGCCCTCTAGTGGAGATGAAGGGTCACCGCAGTGTTTCTGCTCTGCTAACACTCAGAGGGGGGTTGATCTAACAAGCACACTGTCCCAGTATCAGTCATGCTGTTTGTGAACAGGAGCTGTGATGGGGGACTGACTGTTACTGGTGAGTGTGTCCCTGACTGTGTGTGTAGTTCTTTTATGTGCTGATATCAGGCACCTGAGGATGAGCTGTCCACTACACCCACGGTGTGAGGAGAGCATGTTCCAGTTTGCTCCAGTTTCAGGCGCAGTCTGTGAACAACGGCTGAGATGACTGTGTGTTGCATCATCACAATGTCTCACACAGAAACAACAACGGCGGCTCAGTGTGATGAGGAGGAGTTCCCCTCGGGCTGCCTGGAAAAAATGAAAAGTGAATTCCCAAGTTATTCATTTTTGGAGAAGTAAAGAAATAATCACCAAATCTTAAAGCAGTGGAAAGATCATGTTGTTTAAAGGTGATGCAAGATGATGTAATAAAATAGAATCAGTTGGCATGAAGAGCTTTATTTTGAGAGATGAGGCAATCTGTTGAGGAGTTCTGAGCCAAGTCTTTAAACAGTGACAGCAGTGGCAGCTCCCTCTCTTTCTTATTTCACTTACTAGCTGTACATCTAGACAATGACCTCTGAACATGAACTTTCCAATGCTGAAAAAAGCAACGTATTTAATATGTTTGATTCTAATTTGTGCCTTAATGAAAAATATACATTACTCAGTGGTGAACTGTAGTTCTTAGAGCTAGCCTTCAGTTCAGCCCATACAGAAATCTGATATATTCAAAATATATGACATATTTTGGCATATATATTTCCCTTATGTCCAGCTTATATTTTTCACATATGGGCATATACTGGAACCGGTTTAACAGGAGCATGACCTCTTCTTATTTAGCCCATTATATCAAAAATGGTATTGCAAAACGCCAGAGGGTGCCTGCGAGCGAGTCCGCAATGAATGGGGGTAAATGGAGCTAAACGGCTAAAAACAAAAAGTTAAAATAGTTTCTAACCACCCAGAACTTTCCTTTCATTTTAGAAAGTAGAAGGATGTATTTGCATCAAAAAAGCAAAGAAAACTTACCTGTATGTTTATTTTTTTTCTACAGCAAACGTGTTTTGTGTAGCAAGACACTAGCATAGCCTAGTCTTTTAGACAAATAGACAAATCTCTGTTACCTCAGCTAGCATTACTAGCCTAGTCTTTTAGACAAATAGACAAATCTCTGTTACCTCAGCTAACATTACTAGCCTAGTCTTTTAGACAAATAAATAACTGTCTGTTACCTCAGCTAACATTACTAGCCTAGTCTTTTAGACAAATAGACAAATCTCTGTTACCTCAGCTAACATTACTAGCCTAGTCTTTTAGACAAATAAATAACTGTCTGTTACCTCAGCTAACATTACTAGCCTAGTCTTTTAGACAAATAGACAAATCTCTGTTACCTCAGCTAACATTACTAGCCTAGTCTTTTAGACAAATAGATAACTGTCTGTTACCTCAGCTAACATTACTAGCCTAGTCTTTTAGACAAATAGACAAATGTTCTGTTACCTCAGCTAACATTACTAGCCTAGTCTTTTAGACAAATAGACAAATGCTAACGGTCTATTACCTCAGCTAACATTTACGGAGGTCCGAGGTCACCAGCTTTTGTTCCTATCGGGATTTGTTCCTATTCCCATAATGTCTTAAAATAAATGAAAGAGAAATTTATAAACCTGTAAACATACAAGCAGGGTTAATATTTGAAACAATACAATGATGTAGTAGATTTTGTTACATTTTACTTTTTCCGAAGCTGGACAGTGTGCACACCCACAAACAACAGGGCCTCAAACTCACCAACAAGAAACACACTTAATACAATATCAGCAACTTGTCACCTCCTAATGTGAACATGTGGTGAGGCCTGCAGTCCAGTTCCTGAAGTCCCAACCAATTTAAGAGCTTGTTTGACTGTATCTACCTGGATACCACAGAGAAGACACTCCTGATTGGCTCGTTTAAAGCCTTTTGTTTCTGGCCAAAACATGAAATGAATTACTATACTTGCAGAGTTGAAATACAACAAGCATGATCATTATATTAAATGAAAACGAACTAAAATCTTTATTATTTATTTTCACAGAAATCATTAGACGGCCTTGAAGGTTCTCCAGTGATATTACAATTTTGTCTTTCAGTTTATTTATACTTTTTGGCAGTAATTGTGTTGATGTCATATATTTTATTTGTGTGGAAATGATGTACACACAAATTGAGTAAATACAACGCATCACTTTTTCACTGTACAGTATAATAAAACTCCAGATAATGACAGCACCTTTGCTCCTAATGCTGCCTGCCTGCTCCCAGATAAGCTGTTAAGGCTCATTAAGAGTTAGGCTGAGCTTTTGAGCCGCCAAACCGGCGCTGGCCCTCGACCGTCCGTCACCTTGCATACACCCAGCAGCCAGCAAAGTGCATCGATTTTAACGAAGATAATATCTCTTCACATGTACAAAGGGTCTTACTTTAAGGATTCTTACTTATGGATTCATAAAAATCCATTATTTAAACAGGGCAGTCTGTAAGCAATACTACTTTTTAAAGTATTCATATTGCTTTTTTAAGTATACACACATCATGCATACTTTCAAGTATCTTTTACCTTTTCCCTTATTTTTAAAAATATGCACACATGCACACTAGTGTTTAAGGATACATACTATGTAACGTATACTACATTTTTATCTATGCACGCTACCTTTTTAAGTGTGCATACAATGTGCCTATTCGTTTTTAATATATACATATTATACATACATACATAAAGAATAAATAAATTATACATGCTACTTTTTTAAATATGTAGACATCATAAATACAATTTTAAAAATGTAATCTACGCATACTACTTTTTGAGTATGCACACAGTATGCATACTACTTTTTAACCATGCATGCTACTTTTTAAACAGAGATCATGTATACTATTACTTAAATATGCATCCTATTTTGTAAACTTTGCCTACATTATGTATATTGCACTTAAACATGCATTCTACCTTTTTAATCATGAATACTACTTTTATTTATATGCATACAGAATGCCCACTACTTGTGTATAGTACTTTTGTAAGTATGCATACAGTAAGCATATTACTTTTAAAACATTCATACTACTACTTTTAACCATACATACTCCTTTTTAAACTATGCACACATTATGCATACTACTTTTCTAGCATTTATACTGGTTTTAAGTATGCATATAGTAGTATACTACTTTTCTAAGCATGCATACTTTTTGGCTAATAATTCTCAATTTTGAAGTATGTATACTAGTTTTTAAATATGCATACTTCTTTTTAACTATCCATACTAACATTGAGACTGTACACGGTACACATACTACTTTTTTATGTATACTACTTTTAAGAATGCGTAACACGTTTTTTTTTTTTAACTATGAATACTTTTTGAGTTTATATACAGTATGCATACTACTTTATAACTATTCAAACTACATTTTTAATCATGCATACTTTTATACATACTAGCACTTTTATAAGTATGTATATAGTATGCATACTACTTATTTGAGTATGCATACTACTTTTGAACTGTGTCTACTACTTTATAAGTATGCAAACAGTATGTATGCTACTTTTATGTTGTTTTTGAAGTATATATATTGTTTTTTTGAAATATGCATACTTTTTCTAGCTATGCATGGTAACATTTTGAGATTGTACACAGCAAACATACTCCTTTTTTAAGTATCCATACTACTGTTTAACCATGCATACTACATGTTAAGTAGACAACATGTATACTACTC